ATTTTCTGTAATGGTTTTTGTTTAAAAATCAGCATGTTTTTTGGATTTATTTGTTTTTACGCTAAAAGCGGATTTATTTGGTTTTGCACGAAAACATTGATTTTGACTATGAATTTTACAAAAATAGTATATTATGCAACGAGCACGAAATGAAGCATATTTTGCACGAGCATGAAAGTTTGAAACACGAGCCGTAGGCGAGTGTTGCAAATCATACGAGTGCAAAATAGCTATTTCGTGCGAGTTGTATACTATACTTTTTTTACGACTGCTTTCTATTACATAAACAAACACAAATCGAATAAAAGATTTATTTTATTAACTGGAATAGATTACACTGCAAATAACAAATTGTGGATAAATAAACTCGATTGAAACTGAAAAACTGGTCAAGCCATACCCCAACCTATTTATAAAAATTAAACGTACAATTATTAAAAACCATTTTTGGGGAGGTAGTAGTGATATTATGTTCAATATTTACATTTTCTTGAATTTGGCAATTTTCTGCAGTTGTAGTAGATGTGTTTCCCGTTTCTGAAGTTATATTTTTTATCTTATTAGAAATTATGTTGGCTATATCAATCTTATTTGTTAAGGATTGGCAATATCTTTTCCCATTGCCCCAATTTTATTTAACCCTATTCTTTGAACGGTGCATTTACCTTTTTGGTAATTTATAAAAAATCAGGGATCATTAATATGAGGAGGGCGAAGGTCGGCATATTTTTTAAAAATTTTATAATATTGACCAATTATAGTGAACTTTCGAACAATTTTGGTTTTAGTGTCTGGTACCGTCACCAAAACTGCTTCATTCAAATCATTAAAATTTGAAATTTTCATCTGATGTAATTCATGCCGTCTGCATGCACCCATTACACCCATAATTAACGCAACCTATAATAAAAATTCACAAATTGAAAATACTTTGCATTACACAAATATAAAAAATAACGTATTTTAAATATAAATAACCTACTTTTGTTACTAAATATATCTCATCGGGAGCTTCTTTTATAAATTTTTCGATTTCATTTGACGTAAAAGTTTTCGACTTTTTCGGTTTGTATCCGTCTGACTGCCTCTTGAGAAATGCTTTCAATTTCAAATATTTGCTAATATATATATTATTATTAATGCTGATAGTCGTTCTTAACATCGAATATTGTGTCCAAAGCGTAGAACTTTTCATTTTTTTCGCCAATTCGGCAAAATAAGCCACTAAAACGTTCTCTGAAAATGAGTTTGCGTTCTCACCTTTTTTCCAATTCATGAAGAGGGCATAAGATCGTTGATATAATTTTTTTTGATGTTGGTGGGAACAAATTTAAAGTTGTTACTTTTGCAGCTTCCTTTATGTTTGGAGGTGTTAATTCTATATCACTATCACTGTCCATTTTATAAAAGATAATTATCGTAAGTTCTGTCAATATTAATTATACTGACAGTAACGTCAAAATGATATTATAGCCGCCTTAGTTTTTGATCTACTAAATTAAAATTTCATTTCGCACGCGTTGCTGGGCAACCCGTGCAATATGAAATGTTGTGTAAAATGTGTATGATATAAGTTCCAATAGCCGAATCAAAATGATGATTTATCGTTGCAGCCGTAGAAAAATTATGTTGTTTAGCGCGGATAGATAGTCTAAAAAAGATTTAATTTAACAAAGTCAGCTAAAATCCACCGCTAACTTAATTTTCATAAAAATTGCAAAGCTCCTCAATCAGTGTAATTTAAAATGGGTGTTCAATTTTTTCCAATAATTTTATGGCCAATATCGCAGTTTTTTTTATTTGAAATTTATATGTAGTAATTATTATCAATATGCGATACTATTTCCAAGCACTACAACTATTAATGAATGAGTGAATTAATATTTTAGTTATTGTAATATTGGTTTTGTTGTTAATACTTTGAAAACCATCTATAAACATTATTAGTCAGCTGACTTTTCTTCATATTTTGAAATATATTATATTAGTTTACGTAGAAAGCTTGACATTGATTTTTGTGCAAAAAATATTATAGGAAACTTTACCTACCGTTTTTTAGTTTTCATTGCAAATTTAATCATTTTCACAATTTGTCACACATGTCAAATAAAATAATATATTTTTTAAATACCTTTTATTGGCAAATAAAACAAGTGAACTAAAATGTCTATTTATAAGATCAGTCCCATCACAATACATAACATTACACAGGTACAAACTAGAATGAAGATATATGTATAATGCGTGGAATTCTAAATTGTACCCTTCACAATTTAAGAGACCCCCTTAACCCCCATTTTCAATTAGATTTTTTTCATTCCCTTATAAAGCTTGATTTTTCCAAAAAAAATAATATTTTAACCCCCTTAACACCCACTTTTATTCAAATTTTTTTCACAATCAATAGGCCTCATCCCTTTATAGAGCTAGATTTTTACTAAAAATTTCATGTTGATATTGCTTTTCATTTTTGATTTATGATTTTTTTATTTCAACCCCCCTTAAACCCCCAATTTTTAATCAGATTTTTTTTCAAAATCAAAGAGCTTCTTCTCTTTATACAGCTTGATGTTTGCTAAACATTTCAAGTTGATATTGTTTTTAGTTTTTGAATTAGTTTTTTTTTTTTTAATATTTTACACCCCCCAATTTATTTCGATTTTTTTCAGAATCAATATGCTTCGTCTTCTTATAAAGCTTCATTTTTACTAAACATTTTACTAAACAACTCATGTTGATATCGCTTTTCGCTTTTAATTTAGGTTTTTTTGTTTTAATTTCTACCCATCTTAACCCTCTATTTTTATTCAGATTTTTTTCAAAATCAATAGGCTTTATCCTCTTATAGAGCTTGATTTTTGACTTATTGTGCACAATTCTTCACAAACTGTGTGAAGAGTGTAATAATAATATAATCAAGGCTAAAACAATAATAATGGTATTTATTCTCACCAAAACTAACTAGTTCCACTAGCTCGAGTTTCGTATATGACGTAAAAGTGTTAATACACAAGTGCAGACACTTTTAGTATCGTCATAGTATCTTCTCTTTATTCCATATCAATGATTGGAAAGATTCGTATGCTCCGCCCTACTTTGTGACGTGACGCATTAATTATGTGCGATGAACAAAATAACGCGATTAAGGTGATGTTAAGCAGGCACATTGTTTGTTTCACGGATATGTTAACGTGTTGACCTCTCTTTTTAGTTACAGGCTTTCGTAAAAACCTCTCGCTTCCTCGGGCTTACTCATAATAGTGCACCATGGAGACGCGATTAGCCAGAGCGCAGTGGCGTACCCAAAAATAGAGATTAACACGTATAAAAACAATAAAATTATTAAAATTGAATTTATATTTTTGTTATTTATTTTAAAATAACGTGTTTTTATGAAATGTAACTGGATGTTCACTGTACAAATGAACCAATGGAAAAACCGCATCTGTTCTCAATTACAGATCAAAGAACTAACAAACAAGCGCTAACTTTTGAAAGGTTATAAAATGCTTCTGCGCAACATTTTAACACGTTTTTAGCACTAAATTGGCAACGCTGGCAAAGATAATAAACAGATTTACTACTCACTGCCTAGAATGAAGAGTTGAACGAAGGCGGAGATTGTCGCAGCCAAGTTTCGTGAATAATTCCGTATCTGTGACCTTCGAGTGCACGAAAGTAGCTCGATCTAACACCTAAATTGGGGGCTTCACCACTTTCAGCCCTGCCTTGTTTGCAGAGTACCATAGTTTGTGCAACAAGAGTGGATATGGACAATCCACTCGAGTTGTACAGTATATTTTTTCTACGACACACTAACGGAAATCTACAAATTAACAAAATATTTTAGGTTATTAAGACAAAAAAACTAATTTTAATATAATTTATAAATTTTACCGATTTTTAAAATAAAATAAATATGAAAAAATAAAAAAAAAATAGTCGCCAGCCGAGAATCGATCCCCGGCTTTTCACGTGGAAGTCAAGCACTCTGTCCATGCCTCTACGTTCACTAGTACGATTTTGGATTTAATACTCGTAATTAAAATAGTTTCATATAGTTTAATTCAAATTTATTTTTTTTTAAATATGGTTCAAAAGAAACATAGAAATATAAGATTATTTATCGGTTCTATGCAAAAATAACTCATTTTAATGTATATTTAATCTTAATAATTAAAAAATATACTGACAATTGGTTTGACAGTATTGTCACTTATTTAAAATTTTAAAAATAATAGTAGGTAGTTGGGTGTCCAAAATATGAGCTGTGATTGGTGGATTTCATTTTTTTATAGTGCTCTTACTACCTAGAATGGATATTAAATATATTCGTTCAGTTGAACGCAATGACATACATTTTCGTTTTGTAGTCTGTGCGTAGATAAGCTAATATCTATGTGGGTGTAGAAAAAATATATTGAACTGCCAAAACAAAAGGAAGCGTATGCAAATTATAAATAGACGTGGAATATATTTTTTTATTAAAGAGTATGAGTAGATAACGTAATACATTTTTATTTTATATTTATATAAATTAGTTTCCTCTTGCACTGGGGGGCTGTAACCCTGCAGTCCTTACAGACAAGTAGCCACTGGATCAAAGTAAAAACAGAATGCTTTATTTAATTTTGTTGAACGAAGTAAGTTGGTATGTAGGTATGTTTGGTTAATTCAACTTATTTTGGGTCCATAAATTTCCGGACATCCTGCATATGAGAAATATAGATAACAATTTGTTGTATTTAATGAGATCGACTAACTAAACAGTAAACTATAATTAGGTATTTAAAAACACTTTTTTCCTGGTTTTTTCTATTTTAATTATTTGGAGCCTATTAAAACTGACGCATAAAGGAAAGTGCCACAAATATTACTATTTTATTTTATTCCATCAGAATGTCATTTGACCTTTATAATAGTGAAATAGAGCATAGATGATATTATTTACAATCTAAACATGCAATATTGGGTACATAAACGATAACATATAAATATTAATTGTGATTAATCTCATTATGTAGTTACTCATCAGTTTTTCCGGCAGTTCAAAAAGACGATGATGTGTTCCGCTAATGCTATTTAGTTTTTCAACTTTCTAACCTTTGCTCCTGACATGAACGTACACCTACCAGGTAATTTTTAATTTAAAAACTTCTTAGATGAAGTCATACAAATATTCCTATTTAGGTATTTAAATTATTTTGCTATTATTTATAGAAAAAAATCATTTTTGGTAATAGAGGAAAGATATGTAAGTAGCCGAAAATTGAAATTTAGTTCAACATTTTTATTAGGGCTGTTACGGGACTGTAGTCATTTTTCTAAGGAAGAGATTTTTTATTCAAAATTACCAAAAATGGAAGAAAAAGTTTAAAAAATTTACAAAAATACATATAAAGAGCATCTTCATATCATAAAATATTTTTACCTACGACCCCATAGGAAAGTAACGTATATCACACTATTTAGTTAAATGGGAAATGCCCTATTTCACATGCGTGTGGATAATAATCTACTTTTCGCATCAGCTGTCAAATGGATTATTTGTTTGCCTATTGCTTTTTATATCTGTATGCTAGATATACTTTTTAAACAATTAATAAAATAATTTAAAAATAACTGTATAATAATTTTATATTTGTCTGGTTAATACTCATATTTCATTAGCTAATTTATTTGACATTAAGCCTTCATGGCTCAGATAGTTAAGCGTTTAAATTTGGATTTCGTAACCGGTGTTTAATTTCCGATACAAGATAATCTTTTTTATTTAGAAAAAAATATGAAAATAAAAAATACCTGTTTACCATTATTTATTTTAAATACAATTTTTTTAATAATATAATCTCAATACTTAGGTAATCCAATAATCTTTTCGCTATTTATTTTGTATCATTATGATAATGGTCCAGAAAAAAATTTGAAAAGTTATTGGTTACAGTGGTTCATCTTAATATTTCTTGTATTTTTACTTTCCTATCTGTATACAGATATAAGGAAAGTATAGGAATCATGATTTTTTTCGACCTCGAGTTTTCGACGGATTTTTACGTTTTGAGGTCCCCTGAATCCGTTTTGACTATTTTCGCGATGATGTCTGTCTGTGTGTGTGTGTGTGTGTGTGTGTGTGTGTGTGTGTGTGTGTGTGCGCGTGCGCGTGCGTGTGCGTGTGCGTGTGCGTGTGCGTGTGCGTGTGCGTGTGTGTGTGTGCGTGCGTGTGTGCGTGCGTGTGTGCGTGTGTGTGTGTGTGTGTGTGTGTGTGTGTGTGTGTGTGTGTGTGTGTGTGTGTGTGTGTGTGTGTGTATGTGTGTGTGTTCTATACAAAATTTTCCTAAAATGGTCCGTATTCGAGAAATTTTACAAAATTTAAAAAAATATTTTTTTATAAAAATTGTTCAAACAAAAGTTGTTTATAATATAATTCTCTATAATTTTTATTTTATACATAATTTCTCTAAAATGGCCGGTATTCGAGATATTTGAGAAAATGTGTAAATTTCGAAATTTGAAGAAAACTCAAAAACGGATAAAGAAAAAAACATTAAATTTTAAACTTAAGTTTTATTTCGGCCTGACGTGAAATGATTAGATTTTGGACAAAGTCGGAACATCTGGGGGGTACTTTATGGGGGGCCGTTTTTATATTTTATGGAATATATCTGTTATTTATGTTTGGAAAAAAAAATTGTTCAAATAAAAGTTATTTCTAATATTATTATCTATAATTTTTTCCTTATGTCAAAATTTCCTGAAATGGTCCGTATTCGAGAAATTTGACAAAATGTGTAAAATTCCGATTTTTATGAAAATTGTTGAAATAAAAGTTGTTTGCGATATCGATCTCTATAATTTTTGTATATACATGATTTTTCTAAAATGGACCGTAATGGAAAAATTGTAGGAAAAGTGCTAAATTTAAATTTTTCAGTATTTTCATTTTCAATGAATATCTATTAAAAAATATTTTAATGCATCGAAGTTTTTGGCGAGTGACACGATCATCGGCTTTTAAATCAGTACAGTCCAAATGCATGAAAAATTTACACCCATCGCACTGGGGCTTCGTAGATTCGCGATCTGAAATCGTCTTAAAGCATGAATGATAAGGGATTAAATCTTTTAAGGTATAAATGGGCAAAATATTATTACCTGGGTAGGCGTAAGGGGTAAAATGATCAGATGTTTGCATGGGTAGTTCTTAAGGGGAATGATGGACATATATTTTTACATGGACAGGCTTAAGGGGTAAATGACCCAAATATTTTTACACAAATTATTCAAAGTTCAACCAGAGTAAGGACTTCTACGTGGTTTAGTATAAATAACAACAATGCTTCACAAACCTGAAAATTCATTGTTTTTTGGTTTTCCGATCAAAATCGTTTATTTTGCACTACGTGAGATTTGATTCCGGCTAAATGAGTTTTTGTAAGTGGAAGGACCGTAGTAAAAATGTGTAATAATTACACACCTCCACAAAAAAAGTGTTCAGACTTGCCGGTCGGACATATATGTATTCCCATGTATTTTTCGACGCTGAATCCGATCCCGATCTCAGAAATGGCCCTCCACGTCTGGAAGAGTCAGGACTGGCCCAAATCGAGTTCCAGAGTGTTTTCGAGGTCGCTGATCACGATTATGATGTTCAAATTGAACCACAGCCGACCTGGAGCTCAGGAACGCCGATGAACGTTATCTGCGGGGATTATTCCAAAATTCATGCGGGTAACGAGATAAACTCGGCGAACACCCCCTGGACACCTGGTGCGCTGGAACCGGCACGTGGACGTCATCTCCGAGAAGTTTCTTGCCAAGATTGCCAAAAACAAGCAGAAAAACCTTGTAGGGGTATTTTTTGGGGCCCTTGATCTAAATTTTACGTCGAAAACGATCCCCGAACACCTAGTGTATCGAAACGTCGTCTCCGAGGGTTCTCCAGATACAATCGCTAAAGACAAATCGAAAATCGTCATGGGGGTTTCTAGGCACGCGGAATCCAAATTCCATCACGAAAACGTACCTCCGGAGACCTGGTGTACTGGAACTCCGGCTTGAACGTCATCTGAGAGGGTTTTCCTCACACAATCGAGACTACTGTGTCTTATTAGAGATCCCCGTATACCTCATTGTATGTATATACTTCCGTATGAGGAAGTAAAATCGGGGACTCTATACTGTATCGTTTAAACTACTCTTTATACTTAACAATCGAGTGTAGGGGAATACATGGGTTAAGGATAGACGCATTAGAATCGATGGATGTGGCATTTGGGATCTTTTAGATAGGGTCGTTTTCTCGGTCCCAAAGGGGGAATTCCAGTTATCCATAAACTTTTCGAGCACGGTATTCATTCCAGAATTCAAAATTACATAAAAATACCAACAATGCCATGGCGACGTCCGAAACACGATTTTCCGGCCCCTGATGGGCCATTTTCCCGGCCCGTACGGGGAATTCCAGTTGTCCGTTAATTTTTCGACCACAAGCCCGACTTTGGCTTTAGAATGCACCTTCAACCACGTCTCAACTCGGAATCCATGTTTCAGGCCATATAGATGCCTTTATTGGCCCCTGGGGCCAATTCCAAACGTGTGGGGCCATTCCTCAGCTTGGGATCGGATTCAGCGTCGAAAAATACATGGGAATACACATGTCCGACGGCCAAGTCTGTGTTATCTGCTCTCTACATGATCCTACTGTAGCAAAATCAACCGAACAAATAAAAAAGGTAAAAAAAAGAACCACTCTCCTTAACATCTTGCAGATTATAATGCATGTACGGCAGCTGTCGATCGATTCGACCAGTACATGTCATATTACTGTAACGTTTATTTATTTAAAACAGTTTATTATTTATAATTTGTTTACAGTAAATAATGACTAATTTATTTATACTGAAGCTCTATTTATATTTCACACTTATAATCTAATTTATGTAACAATTCGAATGTCTATTTTTAACTAGGTCTCGACTTCAACTGAGCTCAAACGGCACAAGAATCAATTTATATAAAAAATATGCTTCACAAAATACCAGTCCTGTCTCTCTGAGTTCGAGATGCTTCTAAATAATAAACGACTTTATTTTTTACGCAAAATATTATAACAATAAAAAAGTAACAACACAAACAAAAGGCGAAGTTCAAGTAGTAGGTTGAGATAACCCTTCACTAAAATGTGTTCTTCCACTTAACCCATTACATTGTATAAAATTTAATCTTACAAAAAATATATAGATAGTAAAAATAATTATTTAAATAAATATATCTTGCTACTGCAAATACATAGAAAATAGTACATTTTTATAGGTCTCTTTAAACCGCTGTAAAATGTAACCTTTTAAAATAGAGGGAACAGAATTGTATAGCGGTATAACACCGTCTAAAGAACTCGAGGTAAAAAGAAGTGCCTTTATATCTGACGTTAATATTATGAACATCAGTCCAGAAGGTAACTTTTTTCTATAAATAGATGGTGTTTTATCCACGATTTTTTGATAGTCAAAAAGTTAACTATAACCCACGAATTCTATATATCGTTACCCTAATTAGCAAACCTCGTAACTCCATTTTTGCCAAATTCACATTTTCATGCCAACTTGTAGAAAAAAAACCTCTATTACATGTTTCACACCTCATAAATCCAGAATTCAGAACTCAGGCATCCTTAATGCCGCCCCCAAAATACACTGTTAAAATATGTATCTCTAATTTTGAAACACCCTGTATATATAGCTTCACGATTTTAAGGCTCACACTGTATCGCATTCTTCAATTTTATGAGTCTTCTTTAATATTTTAGACGATTCAACGTAAATTTTAATTCTTGGACAAATTCATTCATACGTATTATATACGTAATGTTTTTAAAAAGACAAGTATTGGAAATAAAAAATTTAAAAAAACTGAGTTCAAAAACGTGCAGATGCCATCACCACATCTTAACCAAATTTATATGGGACCACCCCTGAGGTACCCCCTTACTAACAAAAAAAAGAATCATATAAATCGGACAAGGTGGTAAAGCATTATCGCTAAACATACATAAAAAATGAAGAGTTTGAGTATTTTCTCATGGACCCAATTATTAGATTTTTACCAAATTTATATGGGATCACCCCTGAAGTACCCCCTTTCTAACAAATAAAGAATCATTGAAATCGGACACCGTGTTAAAGAATTATCGCTGAACATACATTAAAAAAATATTGCGACGAATTGAGAACCTCCTCCTTTTGTGAAGTCTGTTAAGGGTCTTTATCCTCATTATTTACCAAATTAACTTAATCAATTTGTTATCGTGTAATTATTTGCAAGTTTTAAATCAAAAGATCAGTTTCGAGACAAACAGGAACCTGTTGCGTAATATTTATTTGTCGAAGAACGTGTCACATTCACCTTTTGATAACGTTTTTGTCAAAACAACGTTAGCGTTTGCTTAAAAAAGGGGAAGGGTGCGTTCACCTTGACTGATAAAAGTCGCAAAACTGTTTTGCAACTGAAAATTTAAAACGACGAAAACAACAGTAGGCGTTATCAATATCAGGTTAGCACAATAATAAGTATTGGGCATTTAGGAAATGCGTTTTTTTAACACGGGTTTCTCTAATTAGTAAAAAAACAAGTTGTAGAAAATAATTTATCGGAGGAAACGATCGAAATCATCCAAAAACCATTTCCTGGGCTTGTTTCGTATATATATCATATATTTCGGCTCATTAGTTTGATAAACATTTATATCGATATATTTTGATACCGCGAGTGAACTGCATCGAACTTTTTAAATTGTTGGAAAAATTTTTAAATAGTCTAATTTTGTTTCTTGTAATATTGTGTTCTAAAAGTGTTTGTTTCGGTTTTTTAATTGTATAAAAAAATATTTGAACCAATTTAAAGTATCTGTTGTACTTTAATAGCCAGTAAGTTCAATAATTTTTTATTTTTTTTTAAATTTATAGTTTTTTTCTCAAAATTGTTTAAATCATGGTGGAACGAAAAGTTATAAACAATTTTTTTTTTGAGTTTTGTTACTATGTTTTTATGAAGTAATTATTGGTCTTATGGGATTCTTCCTTTTGAGCCTTCTGTTGAGTGTAAAGTTGTCCAGTAACTGCAGCGCTTCTTTATTGACGTGAGGGTGAAGTCGGCCCTCATATTTCTCAGCAAATCTTATTATTTCTTCTTCGAATATTGGCATCTTAAGGTCTCTATAATAAAGATAATCGTTTTTACAGAATACATCAACAATTGATCTTATAGGACTTTATTTTGGAAAACTGGTATATTCATGATATTGATCTTACTGCAAGACGATGTATATTAAGGTCCGGGCTAAGGTACAATGTTGAGCTTTTTTCGCGAGAGTAACGGCTCTCGTTTTTTGGTATTGAATTTATGTGACGGTTGCGATCTTCTTTGGTATAAACTTTTCTATGATTGCCATGAGTTCCGCGTTTATCTGTGTAAGCTATATCACCACTTTTCTTCTTTGTTTCTAGAACCTCCATCTTTTTTTCCTAGTGACAATACATTCATGAAGGTTTTTTACAAACTTTCACAGTACTTCCTGATCCATCCGGCAAAGTATAATATATCGTACTTTGCCTTCTGCTCTCCCTTGGGTCAGTATATTTACCATTACGTCTTCTTTTAACCTCTCCTAAATGAATATGAGACATACAAAATGATCCTTGTGCGTTTAGATCCGACGAGTAGAAATTATTGAAAAGTTTTTTCTTTTCTTCACCTTTAATTTTTTTGCAACCATCATTATAACATTTGCACACCATCTAGAATCAAAAATGTTAAATCAGTAAAACACTTTTTAGGCCTAAAATTAAACATACCTCAAGTCCCGGTTGCTTTCTTGCTGGAACACTTTTTCCTTTACGAGACACATATTCTTTACCAGACACTTTAAGTTTTTGTTGTACCTTAAAGTTAATTCCAGTTCCATATTTTTGTTTCTTCGTATTACTATCGTTTTCTATATTCATTCTATTTTTCATACCACGCACAAACACACAAACAAAATACTCTCGAGAGAAGAAACACAAACACTGCGAAATGGATGATGCAAGAAAAAACGTTGCATTTATTTACCAAACAAAATAATACTGATGACACTTGGCCCTTTTAATAGGAAAAGACTCTTGCGATTTACACAGGTGCAGGGCCGACTAGAGGGGGGGGCAGCCGGGACTAATTCCCGGGGCCCGGGCTCAAATGGGGGCCCGGCAGCGGTACAAGGGGAACCCGGCAGCGGTATAAGGGGGGCCCGGCAGCGGTGGTGTTTGTTATTTAATTTTTTGTAAAATTGTTGCGAGGCCTGATCTGGAGAATTGTCCTGGGGCCCGGTCTGGCTCTCGGCGGCCCTGCACAGGTGCGCCATCTGTGTAGCTGATTACGGGTACAAAATGTTCGTTTGGGACTTGGCCCCTTCTCGGGGATATGAAATATGTTACTTATAATCTTTTTGTTGAAAAATAATAAATTTCTTGTTTTGGTACTTAGCCCCTTATTCACGTCTGCTCTTCAATTATAAAATATGTTGGATATTTGACATTCCCTATCTAAATGTAATTTATTTTTAATAAACGCAACATAAAAATATTTTTATTTTAAAGATAGGCTTATTAACGGTAGAAAACATAATGAAAGTCTTTTAGCCTTGAGGTGAAAATACCAAATGACATTTAGACGATTTTGATTGATTTTAATTTTGACAAATGTCACATAAGAACTGCTTGGCTCTTTTGCTTATACTCTCACATTCTATATGACCCCACTTTTTGCATTTTTGACATCTGATCCAACCTTCTCCAGATCTTGAATGGCTATAATATAGCTCATTGCAATAAATACATGAAGCATCATCTTCTTCCATTTCTTCTATAAAATCCCTTTCTTCTTCATTGTAACTTTTTTTTAATTATTTTCCTTGTCACCCTTTTTCTTTCCGACTTTCTTCTTTCTGTCTCAATTTTATTTTCGTACTTAGACTTAATTTCTTCCATTTGTGGAGTACTCGCTAGACACCTGCGTTCTTCTCTTTTTTCTCCCTTCTGAAGATGGTTCTTGTTTTGGAGGTGGAGACAGCTCTGAAAGTCGAATTCTCTTGACCTCATTTTTTTTTATTCGTCTCTGGAAATCGTAGTTTCAATGATTGGGCTTCTTTGGATAGATGGGCCTACAGTTTGATCATGATCAGCCGTTAAGTGGGGATGGTCAGTTACCAAACTGGGCCTAAACATGTAATCTGGGAACAAGTCTGGGTTAAATGGGAATATGCCAGTTTTAGCAAAGCTAGAACAGGCTGTTGCGGTGGTTGATGCCTTACCATAGGCTACAGAAAAAATCTTTCCTATCTGAAATGGCCCTACCACACGACCAGGATTAGTTTTCATCCATCGGTCACCTTCTTGGCTGTAGTAGGTGTCTAATGGGCCAAAAAATGTTACATCTAATGGTTGAATTCTGTGTGTGCAATGGGGAGGCAAACACATTAAAGTTATGTCTTTCTCCTTTACATATTTCAGGGCCAGATAGTATTTATGGCTGCTGTGACCGTCTAAAATTAGCAATACTCTATTTTCCAATGAAGCATGAGTAAACTTTGCGAAATGTTTCAACCAAAGTAAGAATAACTCGCCAGTTATCCACCCATTTTCTTGGCAAAGCAGTAGTGTTCCTACAGGAGCATCATCCACCAGTTCTGTCTGTTTCTTTTTGCAAAAATTAATGCAGGGGGGATAAAAGATCCTGCTGCATTCATGCAACATATTACGGTGGTATGCCTACCACGTTCGGCGCTGGTTATGCATCACACCTGTTTTTTGCCTATAGTGGCAAATATTTTAGGTGGTTTTTGGACTGATAATAGGCCAGATTCGTCGATATTATAAATGTTGTAGGATTCAAAATTATATTTTTCCAAGACTTGTTCCAGACGTTGAAAAAAACTAGTCACTTGGGGTCTTTTGAAGGCTTGTGCTCTGGCTGCAGAAGTAGATTCTGGTTTTCTTAAAATAATTTCTGGACGACGCATACGAAATCCCCTAAGCCACTCAAACCCCGTCATTTTTTCATCGGCGAACTCAAAAGCCAGTTTCCTTAGTTCGATTACAGTAAGTCCAAACAACATATTTTCCAGCGACTATGTTTATATTTAAAAAGCGTGGCGTTTGAGTAAAAAGCATGGCATTTGAGTAAAAAAGATGGCATAGCTTTACGAAATAACGTATCTTGTTTTTAAATGTCTAGAATTTTCAAAAAAATCGTATTTTTTAAACTAGACATTTAAAATACTTGAAAAATCTTTGCTCGTTTTCTAAAAGGTCTGGGAATAGATGATGACATTCCTAATTTTCTTGTCTTTTCAGATTAATTTGATGGACCTATTTACGTCACAAATTATTTATCTGAAGTCTCCAGTACAAAAGGAGAACACGCACACTAACTTTATTAAGCTAGTCTATACAAATAACTTTTTCCGTGAAATTCCGTGCTAAAGTGCCCAGATTCAGAATTTCTATTCCGTTCCATTTCAATCTGATCCATTCTGTGCCACAAAAATGTGCGGCCTGTTTAAAGAAAACATGCAATTATGGGTCCAGTCTAACGGGGAAGTACACAGGATGGTTTTATCGGGTGTTAAAACAAACCTAATAAAATTTCAATGTGTTCCCTATATCTTAATTCACTGGGACATTTAGTACATCAGCCGGGTTGACAGGGACAGAAGTTCCAAACCGGTGACATGTCCCGGTGTACTGGGGCGAATGGCAACCCCACGATACACATACTAACGGTATGTTCCTGCGCACACAGCTGACTGATGGTGACGTCACGTGGGACATAGAATTATTAGCATTAAATGGGAGATGTGATATTTCGCAGGTTTTAGATTTTATACGGGTCGGTAGTGTAGCGGTCTAACGGGCTTATATTCATTTATAGGCAAGTTTGTGAGTCTGAGACTGCTGGGCTTCGAATCCCAGACCAGATCATGTGAATTTTTAATTAAATTGCATGGTTCGGTTTAGGATTTGATGTGTGCCGTATTAATACAAATTCAATTTCTGTTGATATGACATGCAGATTAAAAAATTGCCATGCATTACCGTCTTGATTATGGTGGGTGAGGTTTTCCGGGTTTTCCTCACCTGTAAGTCAAATGGCACCATCAATCATCTTTAAGTCGCCCCGGAGCGCCACGGCAAATAATAATAATATCCGTCCCTTCCCCTACACAAGTCGTTCAGTCGACTTCAGGGGTTACAATTCACTCGTAAGGGGGTGAATTAGGGAGAGTATTATTATTATTATTATTACTTAAGCTTTATTGGTTATTTTGTAATATATTCCTTTACAAATATGAAGGTTTAAATTAAACAATACTAATAAAAATATTAATTTTTCTTATAAATTATAGGTATTTTGTGAGAAAATTCATAACCTGGCCGTAAGATAAATATAAAATATAGACTAAAAATACAAGTTTGACTCACATTTGTACTTTCTGGGAGTGGTAGTTCTCTTGAAATTCCTTTTCTTATTATGTGAAATAAAAATAAGTGTCCAAAAACAAATTATTTATTTATAAAAAGTAAGTACACAAAAAATTACTTTTTATTTGGTAAATTTAAACATTTTTTTATCCAGTTTATTTTGAAAATTCTCAAAGCCAATTTTTCTGTTCATGTATCTTATTCTTATATATGTTCGTGTCCTGCTCACGCATAGCATTACTTCAAAAAGGACCGTTGTATTGGGACAGGAAACTACTCTTTTATCTGCTAAAATTTTAAAATATCTATTTTCTTTACTTAATAATACCCCATGAACCTGGTGGAATGCAGTTTCCTTTTCTTGCGTCTATGTTTGCTACTTTTCTCAAAGTGGAGAGGGCAACTTCATACTAAAATAAAAAATATATATTTTTTATTTTAGCAACTTTTTATTGTCTCTAAACCTATTATACTTGTGCACTTTACTAACCATTGTTTAAATTAAGTTTGTCCTTTCTTGGCTTTCTTCGATAAGAATTTACCCTCATTTTGTGGCATTCGGAAATATTTTACATTACACGCAAGTCGCCACCGCGCATCCCGTTATTTTGAACATTAATTCAGTTCTTCCCTATTATATATAGGAAAATCTAGTCACTACTACTACAAAAACAAATAAATTATTAAATTATTTTACACTATTCAATCGAAAAGTGTCATAATAACTTTAAAGTTCGTCCATTACGTCATTGCGCGGTTTGGACGAAATTTGAATAGGCCTTTTGATCATGGATGAGCGCAAGCGCAGCAGCCCTGTTAAAATGGCGGTAATTCAAAAGTTTCGTACTATTTTGATCGACAATGGCTGGGAAAGCAATACCATCTCTACAGATAAATCAATCATTAGTAAAAATCGTTGATGGTGTTTAACTTTTTTATAAGTTTGTGGAAGCACAAAGTTGTGAGCAAATGACGAGGTGGTTAAAGTGTCTTGGACGTTTGCAACAAGGTAAAAAATTGTTCTAATTAAGAGGTTAGGTTTATCAATACTTTTTTACTGTGTAAAAAAATAATGAAAACAAATAATAATCATAACTCTATTCTAATTATTTATGACAACCAATATTAGTACTTCAAAAACACTTTAATCAACATGAAAATTTTTCATAAGTATAATTAATAAAATTAATTATTTATTAGTTTGAGGATCAACATGGCATTTTCAATCATTTTATGTATACCAAAGTAGTATTTAATATTAAAAACTATTGTGTAATATCAGATAAGAATTTTCTTCTGTTGGACCACTTTCTCCATGAAAATGTAGTGAACAAATATAAATATCTTTAGTAATATCATCAATCGATCAAAAACTTTTTGAGCATTCCGAACATGTTTTAATATGTATTTTGCCTGATAATTTGATAATTTTTTTCCGATATTTTTAGCCAAAGCTTTGGAAAATTTATAAAATAATATGTATTGCCTTTAAATGAATTATACCGTGTGTCCCTTCTACATACTCCATGACAACACCGTTTCGTTTTCTTTTCCGTACAGATAACATAATTATAATTGACAGCAAAAATTTATTTTTCAATTAAGAGCTGATTCCAGCGTTGTGTTAAACGTAGTTTAAATTACTAATTGAAGACTAAAATATCATTTTTACATTAACAATATTTAGTTTAGTAATTTAAACTTCGTTTAACACAATGGTGGAATCAGCCCTAAGACACTTATTATTACTTTATATTTTCTTCATTTTTTGTATGAATATACCTACTTAAATTAGTATTTATCGATAATAATTTTTTTCACTTGGGCATTTTAATATGCTTGTTTACAAAAAACAGTACGAAAAAGATGACTGATATTGACGCATGCGCACAAAAATAAAATGTGATGAAAAGGCCTATCGAAAGTCAGCATACCGGTAGTATGTGTATTGTGTGGCAACCCTATCTTACTGGCACTTACCCATATATGTATTCCATATATTCAGATTGGTATTGTTATTTGTTTTTAAATCAACAATTAATGGTATACCAACAGCTTTGATTTTCTTCCTATGAGCTAATACATTACTGTACACTGATTTATTTTTATTTTCCATTTTTGTGTACATCGATTGAGTCTGTTTGCAACTTTTTTAAGTTTTTCTGCTGTAGTTTGTCATACTTTAATAGCCAGTTCAATAATTTCCATATTTGAGACAATGGCTTTCTTCCAAAAAATGTCTTTATATTGTTGTCAGTAATACTTAATAAATTTGTATATCCTGTATAAAATATTAAGTGACTGCCTATGGTTTTGAACAATAACTGAAAACCACACGTAATGTTTATAGGCAGATTCACGATCCTTCCTCATATAACAATATTAATAAAAACAACAGTTTCAACAATGAAATAGAAAGTATAAAAACATAATTTTACGTTATTAACCAAATTTCACTGCATATGCATATCATAAAAAATATATCATAATATGCAGTATTTTTGACACGATCTCGTCTCACCAAACGTGAATCTTTCATCTTGACAATTTAAATTATTGTGCGATATAAGGTGATAGTAGTAGCTGATAAAACGATTTTGATTAGAAAATGAAGACTGTCTTTATATAATTATCCAAGGCTGATATCTCCTAAAAAATTCTATTAATTAATTTCGGCCATTGTTTTAGTTTTATCTATTGTATATAGTTGAAAGTACATACTCAAGTTACTTTTCTTTTTGTTTCAAATCAGTGAGGACCAAAACGAAGAAGATGGCAGAGGTATCGTACGTGCCTGTTACACCGCTGGGTGAGTAATTATTTTTATCAAATTTTATTAGATTGTATTTAGATTTTGATTTATCAGTTATCCGTTTTGTTTATCTTTTTCTTCCGTGACACCTTAGATATACATAGACCATTCACCTTTTCAATATTCAATCTATAACAGTATATACCAGCTAGTCAAAATAAACTTTCTTAATTCTGAATCATATAAGGTAATGCCAATCTGATGACAATTAATTAAAGAACTTTGACATGCTTTACTTGAATATTTATGTCATTGTCATGATTAAATTGTCAAATCCAACGTCCTGTCAGAATGGTCAAAAATGGCCTACAATTAGGCATTCCAATGACCTGTCAAACAATAGGTGCCAGTGGGAAATTCTTGTATATTTAAGGGGGTAGTGACATAGTCTTGCAACTTGGACGCTATTTTTATTCGAAGTAGTACTCGCCAAGCCTCCCAATTTATGAAGAAATGTATAGGTGGGTTTTTTAAATATAATTTTTATTGCGTTTGACATAAAATATTTAAATGTAATCCATTATTCATGATTTTACGTAAAGTAGATAGAATACACCATATATGTCGCCACCCTTAGATATACCAAACCTGCCCACTGGTAATTCATTTGTTTGGAATGCCTAATTAGGCATTCCAAACAAATGAATTGCCCTTAATTGCCAGTTGGCAGGTTTGGTAGATCTGACGGTTGCGACATACGAAGTATTCTATCTACAATACGTAAAATCATGAATAATGGATTACATTTAAATATTTTATATCGAACACTATAAAAATATTAATTAAAAAAACTGCTTGTACATTTTTTTAAAAACTGGCAGGATTGACGACTGATATTTCGAATAAAAATAGCGTCCAAGATGCAAGACTATGTCGCTACCCCCTTAGATATACGAGACCTTCCCACTGGCAGGTATTGTTTGACAGGTCGTTGGAATGCCTAATTGGTAAAGATAATTTTTGATAGCTTAACTTATTCATCAGTGTTTGACTGTTATTGCAAATCACAGCAAAATATCCAGTAATTTCCTTATGGCAAAAGGCGTTTCATCGAATTCATCGAATCTGTTGAATTTTATATATATTGCAGTTTTTGACCTGTTAATTAAAAGAGTTTATAAGCACAAAGTACTCCTATGAATAGTATGTAAGATACAGGGTGTTAAACTTGTGAATTCTCATTATTTTCAAAAATACTTTAAGACATCAACTTCGACGTTAACGTTGTTATTTTGATGATGTTCCTAAAATTAAAAGCTCTCTAAGATATTTGTGACAATCGTTTTAAAAAAATATATATAGAATGAGTAATTTTTTAAATTTCTGCAGAAAAACTGCATATTTAAAAAATTGTTTAACGCGTAAAATATTGAATATTAATGAATTTTTGTATATAGAGTGTCCTGACGGACTGACAAAGAGAAAAACTTTTAGAGAAAATCTTATTCTTCATAAAAGTTTTTTCTTGTTACTTTCCTATCTGTATACAAATAAGGAAAGTAAAGAAATCCTAATTTTTTTGACCTCGAGTTTTCGACGGTTTTTTACGTTTTGGGGTCCCCTGAATCTGTTTTGACTATTTTCGCGATGATGTCTGTGTGTGTGTGTGTGTGTGTGTGTCTGTATCCTCGATAACTCATGAACGGATACAAAAGAAAAACACAACATTTTAAACTTAAGTTTTATTTTGGGCTAAGGTGAAATAATTAGATTTGGGACAAAGTCGGTACGTCTAGAGGGGTGCTTTATGGGAGGCCGTTTTTATATTTTATGGAATATATCTTTTATTTACGTTTAGAAAAAAAAATTCTTTAAATAAAAGTTACTAATAATATTATAATCTATAATTTTTGTTCTTTATAAAATTTTCCTAAAATGATCCGTATTCGAGAAATTTGACAAAATGTAAAAAAAAATAAATTTTTACAAAAAAAAATTTTAAATAAAAGTTGTTTTTTATATAATTCTCTATAATTTTTATTTTATACATAATTTCTCTAAAATGGACCGTATTTGAGATATTTAAGAAAATGTGTAAATTACGAATTTTGAAGAAAACTCAAAAACTGATAAAGGAAAAAACATTAAATTTTAAACTTAAGTTTTATTTTGGCCTAAGATAAAATAATTAGATTTTGGACAAAGTCGGAACGTCTAGGGGGGGGTGCTTTATGGGAGGCCATTTTTATATTTTATTGAATATATCTTTTATTTACGTTTAGAAAAGAAAATTATTTAAATAAAAGTTACTTATAATATTATTATCTATAATTTTTGTTCCATACAAAATTTTTCTAAAATGATCCGTATTCGAAAAATTTGACAAAATGTAAAAAAAATAATTTTTTATAAAAATTGTTTGAATAAAAGTTTTTTGTAATATAATTCTTTATAATTTTTATTTTATACATGAGTTCTTTAAAATGGACTGTATTTGAGTTATTTGAGAAAATGTGTAAATTACGAATTTTGAAGAAAACTCAAGAACGGATAGAGGAAAAAACATTAAATTTTAAATTGAAGTTTTATTTCGGCCTGAGGTGAAATGATTAGATTTTGGACAAAGTCGGAATATCTGGGGGGTACTTTACAGGAGGTCGTTTTTACATTTTATGGAATATATCTGTTATTTATGTTTGGAGAAGAAAATTGTTCAAATAAAAGTTACTTCTAATATTATTATCTATAATTTTTGTTTTATGTAAAATTATCCTAAAATGGTCCGTATTTGAGAAATTTGACAAAATGTGCAAAATTCTGATTTTTATTAAGAAAATTGTTAAACTAAAAGTTGTTTGCGATATCGATCTCTATAATTTTTGTTTTTTACATGATTTTTCTAAAATGGGCCGTAATGGAAAAATTGGAGGAAAAGTGCTAAATTTAAATTTTTCAGTATTTTCGTTTTCAATGAATATCTATAGAAAAATATTTCGAGTTAGATGTATGTGGAAAATGTATATATTTAGTTTATCCTCTAAACATTTATGGAGGTGCTGCAATAGGTTATACAAAATAACCGGAAAGAGCCTATAATAACTAGATTGGAAAGTCATGTGTAGGACACATCAAATTTTTTCAAAAATAATACTAGTAATAATTCAAAAAGAAGTTGAATATATCTTTGCTTTAATGAAATAATGACAAGAATTTTTTTAAGAACATTTTTCAGCTCTGCGTAAACACTTTAGTAAAAAATTTTTATGATAGGTATCTTGAGAAACAGAATAAATTTTCTTTTAATTTTTATTCTTTTAAAATATGTACCTCCTTTTTCATATTATGACTGAAAAAAATCCAAAGGATTTAAATCGAGCGGACTAGCTAACCATTCGTAAAATATTTATTTAAAAAATTCCGCACTAAAGCAAAAATACTGTTATGATAACCACTACCACAATTAACAAAAAATTCAAAAGTCACAATTTAAAATGTACTTCAAACTTAACTTACCTCCGGCTAGTTTTTTTTTAATCTGATTTAATTTTTTAAGAGCAGATTCCCTTTCTCTCAGTGGTGTCGGTTCTAGATTATAAAATTTTATACACTTTATTTAATTTATATTTATTTATTAAATTTATTTTATTAAGTCTATTTAGATTAGATTATTTAGTTTATTTAGTTTATTTAGATTATTAAGATTATTAAGATTATTAAGATTATTAAGATTATTTAGATTATTTAGATTATTTAAATTATTTAGATTATTTAGATTATTTAGATTATTTAGATTATTTAGATTATTTAGATTATTTAGATTATTTAGATTATTTAGATTATTTAGATTATTTAGATTATTTAGATTATTTAGATTATTTAGATTATTTAAATTATTTAGATTATTTAGATTATTTAGATTATTTAGATTATTTAGATTATTTAGATTATTTAGATTATTTAGATTATTTAGATTATTTAGATTATTTAGATTATTTAGATTATTTAGATTATTTAGATTATTTAGATTATTTAGATTATTTAGATTATTTAGATTATTTAGATTATTTAGATTATTTAGATTATTTAGATTATTTAGATTATTTAGATTATTTAGATTATTTAGATTATTTAGAATATTTAGATTATTTAGATTATTTAGATTATTTAGATTATTTAGATTATTTAGATTATTTAGATTATTTAGATTATTTAGATTATTTAGATTATTTAGATTATTTAGATTATAGTGACAACAACAATTCAATTAATCTTTAATATTGTAATTTATAATTAAGAAAATAAACTAGATAATAATCAGTCAATAAAATGTATGTTAATTTTATTATTATGGTAAGTCGTATCACCCTGTAAATATTTTTTAAATAGACAAATGTTTCCAATTCATTACCACTAAATCGTTACAAATATTTAAATTTCAGAACATGAAATATATTATCTATCTACTAACTTAATTAACTAACCATACATTCATCCCCATTCACACTGACTAATTATTACTACTATGCACTATTTTCCAGACAAATAATCAAATTAAACTTTCTGTCTAATTCACTAACTGTACAATAACTATCAATACTCCTAATTAGAATTTGCTATCTAAATTGATGTTTTAAGGTGACATTTCACAAAATTTTTAACATTTATATCATCAAAATGTAACTATAAATAATTCAATAACCTTTAATAAAACTATTTGTCTGATAACTGTAAATCTAAATGTAAAAACAGCTTTTTTAAATCATTCAAGTAGATTGTTTATGACCCTTTCACATTGATAAGAAAATGTTCTCTACTCACGCGAAAATATTTCTTTATCTGGATTTAAATTTATTATTTCTTTCGTTTTTCACTCCAGGACTTCAGATTGCACCAAAAATATTTGTCCCGTATTCCAATTATCCTCCAGTTTGGCAGTTTCACCAATTTCCTCCACGTACAACAGAATGATACCACTTGTCTATTTGACGTATTAGATATTAAATTTTAGTATTCTCTTTTAAATCTTTATATAATTTCCACTACTTCTAACTTTAGAA